AGCAGTTCTTACATCAGCGCATAAACCTCCTGCCAGGTCCGGCGTGCTCCGAGCCAAAAGTGTGGGTTCTGTGTGCAAAGGGAGAGTGCCTTGTTGCTGGAGTCCTCCTCTGCGAGAGCTTTGACTTCTCTCCGATTTCATTAGCTTTCACTTTTAGTTTTAATTTTCCCAATATCCGTACCCTGAGGCGCGGCAAGTGAAATGCCAAACAGTTTCTCAGCCACTGCCTGTTGAGGTCGGTGGGTGCTGAGTTTGTTTTCCTGCCCTGTTCTGTGCCCAGAGGCCTTAGTTCTGAACGACCCCGACTTCCAGCACGAGGATCTGAACTTCCTGTCCCGGAGCCAGCGCTACGAGCAAGCCATCAGGAAGAGCTCCCTCATGGTGATGAAGTTGAGAGAATATGGAATTGCAGATCCAGAGGAGATCTACTGGTTTAAAAGGTACCAGGCTGTAGAGTTTGCTTGTTGTATACGCTTCGGTCATCACCGGGGACATTAAGGTTGTGCTTTTTTCCTATATTTGCTCTCCACATGCAGCTAAAGACATGTACTAAAGTCTGCTCAAGTCTTGGCTTCAGTGAATTTCAGGTGAAGCCCTGATTTCCTGAATACCTCGTTTTCTTAGATGTTTGACTAGAAATTTACCATAAATATTTACACCCTTTTTATTACCTATGGTGCACAAAGTAGATAATGGAACTTGTAGTACTTTTTTTCCACCAAAAAGGATTAAAAAAATATACTGGAATGTCTTGAATAGATCTGCTGAGGCTGCAGCTTCCAGTGAAGTCTCTTAAAGCTGATTACTTCAGTTTGCACTTAGACCTCATAAAGTTACAGGCACGCTTGCAAATCTTCCAAGGCAGCTTGTAAGTTCTTGTTTATAATATTTGTCCTATCTCCTTCCTCCAAGCTCCTGGTTCTGTAGTGGTTCCCTTTGACACAGAGGCTTTTTGGTTTATCTGACCTTTTGTTGATCTGATCGTACTACCCTTGGTTTAAGTTAATAAAAATAAAACTGATTTTAGATCTGAGTGTTGTGCCTTCCAGCTTGCAGGAGACTTAATTCCTGACTGTGGTGTATTTCTCCCTTTAGTTCCGTTAAACTCATTCTGATATAATTAAACAGAAACTCCTTAACAGAGAGAAATCTGGACATAATACCGTAGGTGTATCCTCTGACACATTCGAGGATGTGCTGGTAAAATCACAGGCCCCCTCTGACTGGATTTGTGGAAAAGCAGTGGTTGGGACTAGTTAGTTGAAATCATCTTGTCTGCTGTGGTTTTAATTTTGAAGAATTTTTCAAAGAAATTGGTTTCTGTGTCGTGAAAGTTTTCACGGAAGTAATGAAAATGTTGTTTTGAAACTTGGCTGCAGAGGACAATGATAATGAGGAAAAACTTCATGGGCTGTATTAGATTATTCAGATACTGCGTGGCAGAAGTTAATCATTAATTTTGCTTACACAAGCATTATTGGAGGTGATAGGGAAGTTTCTTTAATTATTTTTATGGATAAAAATCCAAAAAGTCTACCCAGTATACAAGCTGGCAAATTTCAGTGAAGTTTGCAACGTAAATGCTGTCTTTTGGCAGCATTACTGACAATATTTTAGGAAAATAGGACTTTTCTGAAGTAGTCAAAGGATAGATTCTCATTTTGGTTTTCCGTAAATGTATCTGGGAGTCAGCAGCTATTAACTTTAAATGGGTGACCGCTTGATTTTTCATGTAGCTCCCCAATAATACGTCCACATTGCACGTGGTGTGAACAGTCAGGTGCGACCAGCCTGAAGTCATCATCCCACATCGGCTGACACGGCGAGGAAGGCTTCCTTTTTTTCAGAGTCAATTCTCATTGCAGACGTTCAGGATTTTAAAAAATAATTGCAATTACTGTACACTGACTGTATTTTCCAGCGTCTTCTGTCTTTTCTCCCGAAGTGGACAATTGGATGGACGTGGTGATGGGACGTGCCTTGAATGAGGTTTATGAAATACGTTGGAAGTTCTCGATTTGGATGTCAAGTGGTATTTGTTGTCATTGACCATCAGACTTTTTACATCTGGAAGTTGAAGACATTTTGGCAATAGCCCCTCACGCCTTGTCACTGTCCACAAAAAGCAGAGGCAGCTTCAGTTACATGGGCAGGTTTTGATAATTGTGAGCTAGTTTTTTTCCTGTCGCTTTTGAATGCTGCCAGAACCTTTACCAACTGACTGACCAACTTCAGAGCTTGAGTCCTGACCCGGTGAGGATAAAGGCTTCTTTCTTCAGCTGCCCTGGAGACGCGCTTCAACAGCTGTTCCGGCTGGGACGTGTCAAACGGAATCCTTCTGCTTTCCGTTTCCACAAGGGCTTTTCTGGGCTTGAAACCATAAGAGGATCTATTAAATGTGTTTAGAAGCCATCTTCTAAATATCCTTCTCATCCAGCCAGTTCTTCCTGTGTCTTGTGTCACCACTGCAGTTGCTGCTGTGCCCACAGCTTTGAGGGCCGACAGCTTTAAAGTGCCAGAGTTTAACGTTTCTTTCACAGCCTAACGGCAGCAAAATGTAAGTCAGCGGGAAAAATGGGAGATTGTTCTGATGTGTAACGTTGCATAGCTCTTTGAAGAGAGTGATCTGGTCAGTTTTAATTCACCTTCAAGTTTAAACCAACTTCATTGAGGATTAAGTGAAGAAGTGAAAAACAGTTGGGAGAAACTGGGTCACAGAAGAAAAGATCCAAGAGGTGCAAGCCAAGAGATGATTCCTGTGTTCAAAAGCATCCCATGATGGTGAACTTGTCCTATGAGATTTTTGTCCTTCCTGCTCGTTTTGACTCTCAAGTAGCTTTCAGCACATCAGACCAGAAGAACTGTGGTGGGGTCCTGCTGGTCACTGCTGAGTTCATTTGGAGCAGATGAGCCGGAGTTGTTTGGGGTTTTTTGAGACAGTTTGCAAAGGAGCTGGTTCCCACAGCATTTGTCACTCCAAAGCCCAGTGAGCACGGCTCAGACATCCCTCCTGCTCCTTCACAGAGGTGACCCATCGTGCTCTTACCTGAGAGAGTCACCTCAGGAAGTACCAGAAGCTGGAAAAATTGGCTGGCTGGTTCAGTTGTGTGACCCAGTTCTGCAGCCTGGGGATGTCTCTGCAATGGTTCATTTAGCTCTGGAGTCTCTGAAAGCAGAGACGTTGCCTCTGTTGTGCTCTGCTGGTGGACACGCTCTCACACTCATCGGTCGGGTACAGGTGCCTTTCGGTAGGTGGGCGGTGGTGGCTGCCGTGCAATCTGGACAGATCTGTGTTGCCACAGGAGCGCGTTGCTGCACATCCTGCTCCCGCAGGTGGGTTTGGAGCTGCAGCTCTCGTCAGACTTGCTGGTTCCTGTAGTAAGTCTGGCTTCAGGCGGTCGTTGGCCAGTGATGAAACGGCTTTTACTAGAAGCAGGTACACTTAATCCTGGCGTAGCCAAGTACTTGAACAGTTGGAGAACAGGCTGTGTAGGTAGTGGGAATGTAGAAAATGGGAGGGAATAGAGTACGAGTTTGGAGAAAGGGAAAAGAAAGAAAGAAAGAAAACCTGTTGTGCCTCCCTTCGCAGTAGTACCTCTTCTGTTTGCCCTGTGTTGGGAGGAAAACGGGGTTCTCTCATTCAAATTGTTAAAAGGAATGTTGAGAAAATCCCAATCATTCAGTGTGGAGTATGCAGAGGTGAAAAGTTTCGGCTTAATTCACTAGGTCTCACTTCTCCTCTCACGTTTGATAGTGCAAGAAGCTTGTTGCAATTCTGCATGTACAGACAGTGAGATAGCACGACCTGACACAGGGATGGTAAAATATCTGCGTGCAAAATGTCATTCTGACTCCTATCAGAGAAGGTGCCACTTAAGCGTGAAATACCTGGCACCTATCACTGAACTTACTGATAGCGAAAGCTGCTGGCGTAACCTTTCCGAAGATTATTTTTTTTATTATTCTTTTTTTCTGGAGCGTTACCCTCAAAGAGGCAGTAATCCAACCTGAGTTTTCTGACAGCAAAACATGTGCTGCGCCTCTTTCACAAGTTCTTTCCGTGGTTTCTGAAAATATGCAAAGAACTGTTTGAGCTCTTCCAAGGCTGCCCAGAAGTGCTGTATTCCAAAATCAGCACTTTTTTTTTTTCCCCTGTAGGTTTGTCCTTTTTCGGACCTAAGGAGTAGGTGCGCAGTGGTTGTGCTGTAGGCGGTGAGGAAGGGAAGGGCGCTGATATTGCTGTGTGGGTCCTGGGCTAAAAGAACAGCCCATGTAGGAAACGGCAAGGGTGCTCGAAAATACTCTCTCTCGCTCTACTTGTAGCACTTTTAAACCCTTGATTGCGCTGATCGTTTTGGCTTTGTAAGCGTGGTGCTGGAGGCAATAGAATGTTTTCTGCTAAGAGGATGGTCTGCCTTGATTTCAGCCAGCTGGAAGCACAGGCACTGCCTAATCACCAGCGTTAATCACCAGCGTTAATCACTGGTCGAAGGTTGCTTCGTTACAGCAGTTTTGCTCCTGGAACAATTCACAGCTCATTCAGTCTTGTCCATTTAAAAACTCCTCCATTCAACATTTTTCCTCCTCCATCTTGGAGTTTGGACGGCAGACTGAAGGTGAAAACAAACTGTTCAGACTGCAGAATGTTGAAGGGAAGATGCTGTTATTTATTATATGATATTGAAACGTTCCAGCATGTTGGTGTTGCAGAGCTCGTTTTGATTGGGAATGTACTTTGCCTGCGAAATTAATAAAGCTTGCTTTCATCAGATAACTTGTGTCTTGATGGAGCACACCTAAACCATCTGAGTCTTCCTTCTGTTCCCTGCAGTGCCAGCCTGTAACAGTAACTTGAACTGACGGTGAGTTCCTGATCTCACCACTGATAGGAGCAGCTGAAGGTAATGCAGAGCTCTTGTGAAAAGCACTTGGTCACCTGAGCAGCCTGGTCCCGGTCCGTGTGTAGTGCCTCTGGCTGACAGTGGCCTCATTTTAGGCCACCAGCAGTGGTGGAATTTGTTCCCACCAAGCCTGAGAGATGGGGAGAAACTAATTCGGTTTTCATGTCCTCAGCTTTAAGTTCCCCATGAATATTTGCAGAGTAATATTTTTGCAGTTACTTAGCAACAGCAGGATTCATGGGGTGAAGAAAAGGCCTGGAAGAAACATTTTTTTCCCCATAGCATTGCTTCTGCCGCTTCTGTATTTGGAGGCTGCTTGTGGGACAAAAAAGGGTTGCGATAGACAAAGCGATTCTTGATCTTCTGCTAGAGTTGGAGAAAAGCCTTTCAGGATCGCAGTAACAGTAAGACTGAGATCCAGATCCCTCTATTTCTCTCCTGTAGAACATGCTTGGGCAATTTTCCTGAACCTTTCGGTCTCCACTTCAGCATGTTTCAAAAAACCTTAGAGACCCAAACGACTGCTGCTCAGAAGGAGAAATGGCTGACCCTGGCCCGTGGAGTCAAGATCATTGGCACCTACGCCCAGACCGAAATGGGACACGGTTAGTTCCCGTCTGAGATCGCTGGGTAACCTCTTTTTGGAAATGCGGTTTGTAACTTGGTGATGCTCCCCGGGTAAATCCAAAAGGGGGAGGAAGGTAAGGTGGTTGGGTTAAGGGTGGATGTTTCCTGCCCCGCAGGCAGGCAGCTGCTCATTTCACATCCCGACAGTCACAGAGAGAGTTTTGGTGTTTTCCAGAGCGCACCTCTCAGCTGATTGCTGACTTTGTAGTTGCTCTCCTTTGTTTTAAGATGAGAAGGTTGTTCTCAGCCCTGGGAGTTGGAATTTTGCTGGAGCTAGTTGGACCGTGTTGGTCAGCAGTGCCGTGGGTTTTGTTGTGCCTGCATTGAGGAGAAGTGTGTCTCGGAGCTCTTGGTGCGTGGCTGGCCTGCGCGGACAGGTCGGGAGAACACCCTCAGGTGCAGTGCAGGCTGGTGAGACTGGGTGGGTTTGGTTTTGAAAGTAAGGTGTGCTTGGCCCCAAGCACTTTCCTTCCAGGGGCTGCTCCATTGCAGCTGCACAACTTCATGGAAAGATCTGGGTTTCAAAGAAGAAAAACGTTCCTGCTGTGGTTGAAAATGACTTTCATTTCTTTGGATGGAAGAATGTTTAATGGATCAGAAAAGAGTCTTTTAACCCAGGACCTGGAATTATGGCAGTTAAAGTAACTGCAAGAATAGTTTAACAAGCCCAAGGCTCGTGTGCTTGTGCTGGAATCTAATCTTGGAAAGCGTTGTACGTGCACGTCTGGACAATCGCAGCAGTTGGAGGGCGGTGCCAGCTGCCTGGCTCTTCTGTTACAGTGACTCGTGGCAGCTGAAACGTTTGCAGAAGATGTTTTGGAGGGAATCTCTTCTGCTTGGGAGAGGTGGAGTGAGTGAGGCTCCCTCACTGCCGGAAGCTGAGCCACGGCCGGAGGGCGGCAGTAAAGGCCCTTCTGCCCTCGTCTGCTTCGTCACACCAACTCCTGTAAATCAGACACGCGGCCACCTGAAGTGATTTGTTTTACTTGCTATTGCACGTTAGATCATTGCACGTTCTTGCCTGGTGGTGGTCTGGTTTGCTTATACTTCTCATGTTGTTTGATGATAAAATTAGTATTTTGATACTTAATAGGAATCATATGGTCACAGTGTGGTAAAGTAAATATACTTTCCATAATTAAAATGCTTTAGTGTTCGGCAAAAAATTGAGTATCTGACTGCTTTGTCAGTAAAGCTTGGGCAGTAATTGTCACTGAGCTCTGCGTAACTTAATCCTGATGTTTAGAAACAGACGTCTGGATTATTGAGATGAATCCCAGCCTGGGTGGGCAGTTACTCAGTTGCACCTGAGTGAGTACCTGCTTGTCAGCCTGTGTTGGTTTTGGCACAAACAGCACAAGGCTGGGAAGGAAGCAAAAAGGAGACATGAAAATACTGTGCCGTTTCTGCTTGGTTTGGAACTTGGGGGAAGAGTAGTTCTAATGCAGCATCTCTAATTGGAGAGATGTTGTGCTGGTGATTTACAAGTTGAAAAATGTCAGCTTTCTCACCAAATTGTTCACATTCACGACTTTGACTTATGCTTGCGGAGCACTGTCCTTTCTAGAGAGCTTTTAAAACCAGGAAAAGATGAAGGGCGTTGAGTTGAAGTGTAGTATATGCTAGTTGTGTTTGATTTAAAATAAATGGAGTACAGTTAGCTAGGACTTTCCATAGAAAAAGAAAGTTCAGTGAAAACTTAGCTCATTCAGCTGGATAAACTGGGGTTTCTGTCCCTCAAAATACGGCAGAAAAAGCAGACTTCCTATCTCCAAGGGAAGGCTCGTTTCAGCCGGATCACATCTTCACCAAACTGATGTTCTGAGTCAGCCCTGTAACTCAAGGGTGCTCTGGTTTCCAAACCAGGATAAAGCCTGGTCTTTCTTTTGGTTTGGATAAATATTTTTTTTTAATCAATTATGGTGCACGAAAAATATGGGAATGTTGCAAATGCATTTCACTTAAGACGAGAAAGAAGTGCATCGCAGTGTGTTTGTTTCAGAGTAAGTGTGATTTCTTCTTATTCAAGCCTGAGAAAAGGACAGTGCTCTGGCTTTCTAAGATACACTTGCTGAATGCTGATTTACGCTTTTTTTTCTCTTTTTGTCTCTTCCTGCATCTCCACCCATGAATCCTCATGCTCGCTTCCCTCCCATAACATTGCCTCCACACTCCCCTCCCATGACACTTCTTCACAGCTTTGTTCATCGTGGACGACCCGAGCCCCTGGACCTTCATCTGGGCATGTTCCTTCCCACACTTCTCACCCAGGCAACCCCTGAGCAGCAGGATCGCTTCTTCATGCCTGCCTGGAACCTGGAGATCATCGGCACTTACGCCCAGACGGAGATGGGCCATGGTACAGTACGCTCCCTAAATGCTATTTCTGAGCACGGCTCTGTGCACCAAGGATGGCCCTGCTGGGACATGGTGTGTGTTCACCCCACGGCCTTTACTCGTGCGGCTGTGGCTACAGGGAGAAGTGGACTGCCTCCGAAATTTCAGATTTCCGGGAATGCCGCGTGCTGCTGGCCCTTTTTTCTCCCGTGGGAGAGTCTGCTGTCTGTTCCGTGGGTGAGCACACCGAGTGCTCCTCTTGTGCCACCCAAGCCAGAACAGATCATTGCACGTGTCGGTTTGACGACATCTCTTCGTTTCTGCACTTACCGTTCTTCCCAGTGCGATTTCTCCTTTGCTCTGCTTAAAGTTCAGTGTGAAGACAAAAGAGCTTTAAGGTACTGAAAGAGTTGCTAGAAATGAGTGAGAGTTGCTTGTTGTCTTGGGACAGACCCTGGATCAGAGAACATGTGGGCGACTTCGTTCCAACACTCACGTTTTGTGGAGAACTTTATTCCCCTCGTTCTTTAGTTCACTTCCACGTGTTCTTTTTAATTGGACCATGGAAGTTTGGGGGTGCTTTTTCTTTTTTTGGTTTTTGTTTTTTAAATTCTCTGTCTCAAGAGGACTTTGGTCTTTGTTGCTGTTTCTTTGCTTTCAAGCTTTGAAGTGGATTTTTGTAACTCCAGCAGTGTTACGTTTGCAACATTTTTAATCCAGGTTTCAAAGGCAGGATATTGTGCCATAGGGAGCATTAAATTTTCACATCTGAGAGCTGGAGATGAGGATTGTTTTCTAAAAATGGGCAGGATTCACCCTTGTACTGAGCTGAAACGTAGAGACCGTATGAAGCGTAAAGTAACTGCAAGTCTGTGGAGAATCTCTTGCACCTGGTGAGGCCTGAAGACCCTTTACCAGCCAAGTCAGTCAGTGTTAAGCTGCCTGGGGGAGCCGGCCGTTACCTCTGTGCTTTGGAAGTGTGGTTGCATCGAGGGGACATCGTTTTTCCCGTTGAAACTCTTGTGTAAAGACGCTGGCTCTGTCAGTCCAGGCCAGCAGGAGTGTTCACAGCGTGTCTAGTCTAAGCAAGTAGGTCCAGTGATTTGGGGGTTTTATTTTATTTATTTTTGCACACGCAGGGACAGTGCTACTGCTGAAACAGGTGTGTGTGAGGTAGAGAGCTGGGGGCAGAAGGCAAACCCTGGTCCTGGAGTCGTTACCCCCATCTTTTTGCAGTCTCTGCCTGCATCGGTACCCCGGCGCATGAGGCCGTCGCTTGCTGCCTGGGATCTGTGGGTGATCTAGTCTGGGAGGAACTGTTCATCCAGTGAGGAGAATGCCGGCCTGATGAGGGAGTGCAGAGATGATGAGCACTACTTATTTCATCTTGTGGCTGAAAAGTGTCTGATTTTTATTTTGCAATTTGATCGGGTTGCAGGTTTAGTGAAATCTAGGGGAGTGTGTTTTTGTGGACCTTTTTTAACTGAGAAGGGGCTTCTGGTGTGTAATAGCCAAAGGTTATCAGATTAGAGGTGCTTGAAAAACTAGTCTTAGACTACTGAGCAAAAAACCCCCGAACGCATTTTCTGAGAGTTGCCTTCAGGCCCCAAAATACGGGCTGACTCTCACTGGGTTTTCTTTAATTGGTTGATGTTTAGTCATTTGTATAACCTAAAAGCAAAGTTAAAATTTGCTATGGGAGTTCAGCTTTCCTCTGGCCAATTTTGTCCTTGTCTCTGATTTGTGAATGACTTTCTGCCAAAACGCTGTGTTTGCTTGTTTCCAGGAACTCATCTTCGGGGTCTGGAAACAACAGCTACGTACGACCCTGCTACCCAGGAGTTCATCCTCAACAGCCCCACCGTGACCTCCATCAAGTGGTGGCCAGGCGGACGTAAGTGCGTCACCGCGTGTGTCAGTCTGGAAAAACTTCGGGAGGTGATGTCATGGGTGTAGTATCTACAGAACGGTGATGAAAACATTGATCTGAAGAGCTGGCTGAAAGGTGGCTGTAACAGGCTCACCAGAGCCTACTAAAGCTTTGGATTATCCATGTGCTCTGAATTGTTTCTTGGAATCATTCACACGCTGTGGATTTGGTGTAATTTTTAATCAGTTCTGTCAGAATCTTTACACTTCCTTCAGCTCCACTGGCAGCTTTGCCAAGGACTTGCCATTGTAGAGTCAAGCCCATTGTGTTGTGCAGCTTTCACTGGCTTGAGCAACGCTGTCTGGCTGCAGAGTTTGGATGATAACCGGTGGTGGAAATCTGGTTTTCTAACACACGATATGGTTTAGGTAATCTCCAGTCTTGCTTTAAGGAAAGAGACTCCGTGTGTAAAAATGTGTTGACTGGTGTTTTTGTTTTCCCTTCTGACTCGTGCTCCTTTTGCAGTTGGAAAGACGTCGAACCACGCCATTGTCCTGGCTCAGCTCTACACTCAGGGCCAGTGCAAAGGGCTGCACGCCTTCATCGTTCCCATACGGCAGCTGGGCACCCATGAACCTCTGCCAGGTGAGAATTAACATCGAGGGTTTAGCACCCATGGAATAGTGTTTCCCAGCTCTGTGTTGTGTGATGGAGCATGTCCTCCTTTCTGAAAGGGAAGGGATGCTTTTCCTCATCGTCTGGCTCATCTTTAGAGACAGCTCCCCCAGGGACTGCATGTCCTTGAAGAAACCAACAGGACACATCTAAATGATTAAAGTGGCTCAAAATGGCCCTTTTATTACCCAAAGGCTGTGCCTTTTATACATGGTCGAAGGTACTACAAGAAGGCAGCGGGGCCTTTGCTTATAGGTCAGACCCTTGTTTTTCACCTTCTAAGTGCTTCACACTTGGCACCTTCTGCCTGGGCTCAGCCCTCCGGATCTCGAGGGAGGAAGGTCCGCAAACGTGTCCAAACTCAGTGCACACGACTTCCCATCTCAAGGGTGCGCTGGGAATTTGTCAAGGTCACTGTCTTCAACCAACGCCAGGTTACCAGCAGTCCAGCTGCCGGCCCCCACAGCTGGATAGTACAGCTGCCTGTAAATTACGACGATCCCCACGTTTTGATGTCCATCAAAGAGGTTAAGGTCCTCCTGAGCTGTTACTCCCAGCAGTGCCAGGACTTGCTAGAAAACTGCACAGTCTCTTTATTGGAGAGGGCTCGAACTTCTTGTGTGGCGTTCAGTTCCTTTTTAACGAAAGTGGCTTGTCTGTGGCAGGTATTACAGTGGGTGACATTGGGCCAAAATTCGGTTACGATGAAATGGATAATGGCTACCTGAAAATGGACAACTTCAGAATTCCTCGGGAAAACATGCTGATGAAACACGCCCAGGTAAAGCCGTGAATTCCAGCGTATGATGTTAGAAATGGACACCTGAAATGCTGTGGGGTGGGTGTAGAATCTACGAGTGAGTTTGCAGGTTGCTTATAAGTGCTACTCGATGAGTTTAGAGCTCAAGATGTGAACGTGTAGAAGGGAGGAAACTTGAAAAGTCAACAGGCTATTTTTTTTATTTTTTTTTTTGGTAGGTTGAACCAGACGGCACCTATGTGAAACCTCTCAGCGACAAGCTCACCTACGGGACCATGGTGTTCATCCGATCTCTCATCGTGGGCGACTCGGCTCGCTCGCTGTCCCGCGCTTGTACCATCGCCATCCGCTACAGCGCAGTGAGACACCAGTCGGAGCTAAAGCCAGGGTAAGTGCAGCGAAATAAAAGAGCAACCTGAGTTCTGAGAGACAATCCCCAAGTACTGGAGGGAAGAACAGCGGTGGTTTGGCACTTCGTAGTTTGAAAACCTGGCTTCATTCTGGGAAGCAAGTAATCTTGACGCCTACGATGCCTTCCCCCTGCCAGAGGTGTTGGCTGTGTGCTCTTAGATAATCGCAACTTCTTTATCCCAGCGGAGAAGCTGCTCAGAGCTGAACAGGACGTCGCAGCGGTTTGCTCCCCACTGGCCTGTTCACTTGTCTGTGTTTTGCTCCAGGGAACCAGAACCCCAGATCTTGGATTATCAGACCCAACAGTACAAACTCTTCCCTCTCCTGGCCACAGCGTATGCTTTCCACTTTGTGGGAGCCTACATCAAAGACACCTATCACCGGATCAGCGGGGACATCAGTGAGGGGGATCTGAGCGAGCTGCCAGAGGTACCGGGCCTGCTGCTGGGTTTATGTAACGCTGCTGTACCGTACAGGGAAAAAGGCATCAACCTTTTTGGCTTTCGCTCGTAAGATGTCTTGTAATTCTTTAGATTCAGAGATCCCAAGCCCAGAATGTGCTGGTGGCTTTTATTATTTGCACATTTTATTTTTTTTATATATATCCCTTTTCAAAACAATACAGAGTGATGCACAGTGAGAAAGCTACTGTAAATATATTTTTTTGAAAAGGCAGCTTTTTAGGAATGATGGCATATTGCTTGTGAGCAGAGTTAAGATGATTCTTGTGCTTGTGCTGTAGCTTCTTGATTGTTCTTCCAGATCACTAGCGCAGAACTGGTGTGTTGGTCAACATTATCAGTACTATCCTGAGGGATTAGGGCTGTAAATGTCAGCCTTCAGTTAGGGATTCTGTCTGAGAACCTAATGTGACAATAGGCAATTGAAAACAGTCTCTACACATTATGGTGTAGAGACAAAACCAAAAATCCATACGTGTATGGAGGCTGTCAGGTAAATAGTTTTTCTCAGGGAAGAGTCCTTAAAAGAGGAGCAAGACCCTGTGGGGCAGTGGAGAGCTGGTGTTAACTGGTTTTTTTTTCCGGGAGCTGCAGTGTTTGGCACGCGTGCGTGCAAGCTAAGAATGGAAAATAAAAAGTCTGAACTGGCTTCCCTGTTGTCGCTCAGCTCCATGCCCTGACAGCAGGGCTGAAGGCGTTCACGTCCTGGACGGCCAACGCTGGCATCGAGGAGTGTCGCATGGCCTGCGGCGGGCAAAAAATTCCTGACATCTACGTCACCTTCACCCCGTCCTGCACCTATGAGGGAGAAAACACGGTCATGATGCTGCAGACAGCCAGGTAGGGCAGCTGCTGTCCAGAGACATTCTTGCCTCGGCGTTACTGTCTTTGTGGCTGAAATGATGAGCGTAAGAGTATCCTGAATTACCACGAAGCTGGTCTCTCATGTTTCTGTCCCTTGCCTTATTGTTAAGAGAGAAGTACATGCCCAGAACTGTTCTTTGCTAGTCTGATCCTAGGTGTGATGGCTTCTCTGCATCCAAACAGCTCATGAGCAAAAGTTGCTATTTGCTGTCTCTATTTCCAGGTTCCTTGTGAAAAGCTACTCCCAGGTTAGTTCTGGGCAGCGGGTCACTGGCATGGTGTCCTACCTGAATGATCTCCCCAGGCAACGCATTCAGCCACAGCACGTGGCCTCTAGGACTGCGACTGTGCGGGTCAGTGATCCAGGGAGCTTAGTAGATGCCTACAAAGCACGTGCTGCCCGGTGAGTTCACGGCCGTCTCCCGAGACACGTTCTTTTAGTGGTGCTTGGCTCGGTGTGATGCGCTGCCCTATGGTTTGCAAAGCTTTGCTCCGTGCGTCGCTTTCAAGAAATGACACGTTCTGCTGGGTTGGGTCTGTGTTAAATGCTTTGACGTTACAAGAGGCCACCCACAGCCTGTGTGTAGCCCAGTTACCCTAGTCTGTTCCATTTTGAAAGATATTTTTCTTATTTAAATGTGAAGTATATTCAAGTGTACAAATACCAACGTTGGTCAAACTGCTTAGAGATCTGTATGGAGAGAAACAGTCCTGGTATTAACCCCCGTTGTGCAGGAAGTGTGAGAGTAGAAAAGATACTGACGTGTGACTTCAGTATTCAAGCACCACTATTTGCTGTCAACGGTCAGTTTGCCCCTCTGGAGCTGTGTTCTGGCTGCTGCAGCGATGATGGAACTTTAGAGCCACAGCTGCTCACTCCAGGCATTGTATTCAGTTACGGCACACGGTCTCTGAGTTCTTCTGACTTACTAGACTGAAGTTCATCTGAATTCAGTGTATGTAATCCTGATGTGGTGTTCTCGAATAACCTGATTTTCTTCTTGATACGAAATAGGCTTGTAGAAGCTGCAGCAAAGAATTTGCAAGCTGAACTGAACCACAGAAAGAGCAAGGAGGATGCCTGGAACAGAACTTCTGTTGATCTTGTGCGAGCATCTGAGGTCAGTGATGTGCCTGGTGAAGAAAGGTGGTGTAAGAGCTTCTCATCTCTTCAGGAACCAGACTCACCTTCCTTTCGTTTCTCACAGGCACACTGTCACTACGTGGTAGTGAAGCTTTTCACCGCGAAGCTGTCGGAGGTCAGGGACGCCGCTGTCCGTGCTGTCCTGACTGACCTGTGTCTCCTGTATGCGCTGTACGGGATCAGTAAAAACACTGGAGATTTCCTGCAGGTTGGTGTCTTTCTCCAGTACTTTAAATCTCTAGAGCCAGAGTCACGGTTTGCAAAGACGCTTTAGATGTGAAGTTGCACAAATGCTTCGGCGTAAGGTGCCGACTGCCAGCAGGCCGGCAGCAGTGCAGGGCTGGTGGAAGGCTCTTGTCGAGCTTCCCTTGTGATCTGCCAGAAGCAGAGATGGATGATAAACGATGACATGGCACGTGTACAGGTTAGCTTAAATGTTTCCAGCTGGTGACCACGTGCCGTGTCTTAAAAAGCACGGAGTTGATCAAGGAGATGTACGTTAGACATGCTGTGAGAGTTGTATGCGTTTGTAAATTAACGCACAAAAGGGGGACGTTGTACTCCGAATTTTAGGCCGTCCTTCAGTGAATGGGTTGAAATTGTCAGGCATTACTCCTTTCAGTTCTTTCAGTCTGAGAATGTATTTGTGCAGCATTGTTTTGTTTTGCCTTCAGGCAGACGTGGTATGTTTTTTCTTCCCATTTTCCTCCTGCTGCTTATGGAAAAATCCCCTGAAAGCAGGAGGAATTTAATGTGCACATATGGGCGCTCCTCAGGAAAACTCGCTACTGAAGTGAACAGCCCGGCCCTGTGCAGAATGAGCGTCCCACCAAAGGCTACAGAGCGAGGCAGTCTGGCGGCTGCGTTAGGGGAAGGGCAGGTTACAGAATCACAGAATCACAGAATGTCA